GATGATGATGATGATGATGATGATGATGATGATGGCGATGGTGATGGTGGGGATGATAATAATAATAGCAATGATGACGATGATGAAGATGGTGGTATCAAAAAAATGGGGGTAGATGTGGAGGATTGAAAAAAATAATATCATTAGATAAGATCAATTTTTGTGAGGATTATTTATTTTTTCATTTATGAAAATTCTACTCCAATTTCAAACAAATTATTATTATTTGAAAATGTGTATAGCGCTAATTACAAACAAAATGTTTCTCAAAAACACTGTCTAAAAAAAACAGTTGAAATGCTACGATAAACCAAATCTAATAATGAAAAACATGATTTCAATAATTCCTTGAATAATTTTACTGTCAGATGGGGCTGTCTTAGATAACTTGGTAGACTATTCCAAACGGTTGGTCCACATACTGAAAAACTTTTCTCCACCATTTTCAAATTGGTTTTGGGCACACATAACAAGTTGCTATCATCAGACCTTAAGCAGACAGTTTTAAAAGACAGTGGTTTCGGTACATGCATTTCTTTCAAATATACTTGCGCCATTCCCTTCATACATTTGAACATAATTGTTGATATTTTGAACAAAATTCTTTTTTTGACCATCAACCAGTGCAGTTCTCTGAATATCGGGGAAACATGGTCAAACTTTTTTGCACCAACCACGATCTTAGCTGCCCTTTTCTGAATTGACTGAAGCACAGATAACGATTTTTCAGGTAAACCATAAAATAGACTGTTGCAGTAATCCAGTCTAGAATGAATAAACGAATGCACTAAACTTTGAATAACATCTTTGGTTAAGCTTTTGCGGAGTATTTTTAATTTTCGCAGTTTTAGGGATGCAGTACCAAATAAAAACTTGATATGTTCAGTCATTGCCAGCATAGAATCAAAAATGACACCCAAGTTTGTAGTTTTGGGAATGAAATTAATATTTGAGTCCTGAATGATAAACTGAATTAATTTCAATTCTAGACAGCTGTTGTCAAGTTCCAACCAGAAGAATTTGCGTCTTGCTTTGATGGAGCTTAAGACGATTATCTGCCATCCAATTCTCGATCTCGACCAAACATTTAACAAAACGATCAACTGCAAGATGAATGTTGCTAAAGGATTCTGTGGCGAATAGCTGATTATTATTTGCAAATGCATGACACTCGATATCATGTAATCTGATTGCCTCAATAATTTCAGAAGGGTAAAGAATAAACAAAATTGGTCCGAGAACCGAGCTCTGTGGAGCACCAAATCTTATCGTTTAAACCGAAGAGGTCTTATTCTTGTAGATTACCTGCTGAGTTCTGTCTGTGAAGTACGGCCGAAATCATTGCTCGACAGAACCAGTTATTCCAAATCTAT